TTCATAGCATTAGTAGGAATGTGGTAGGGATGTGCACAGGTGGTGCGTATGGGCTAAAGGGAGATTGCAGGCTTTGGCATAATAATTAACAGAGCTACACTGAGCAGCTTAGGGTCATACGACCCATTTCTGGCAGACCAGGAACCGGAGCCATGCACAGCAGTGTCCAAGCCAGGCCCTTAATTAAACTGGCCCTTCTCCCATGCCCTTTGTGAAATATTCTAGAGACTTAAACTTATCTTGTGAAAAACTTGCATATTGTAAGGGGTCTTCTTGTATCCTTTTGTGTTTCCAGTTCGTTCTCTCGGGATGGAAAATATTTGTAGCCTTTTTTCAGTACTGAAATATATTGGTGTATAAAGAATAGGTTAAGTAAAGAAATACATAACAGTACTATTAATATGACATTTTAATTGCTACATCAGACATGTTTTCAAGTACTAAGTGCTAGCAACTGATAAAAAGAGGTTCACATTAAAAAAGCCCTGAATGATTGAAGCCATTTAGAGGCCTTTATTGTACCAGGCTGTCAAAATGCCCAGCTGACCTTTTCTACATGGTAAATTTCTCCAAGAAAGATTTTATACAAGCTATTTTAATAGCTCTTATCCTCCTTCAATGCCCCCACCTGCATAGTTTTTGGATTAGATAATGGTCAGAGCAAGAGAAATGCCAAATCCTTACAAACACTCAAGATGACCAGATGACCAGGGACATTACATATGAAATCTCTGCAAACCTTATTTAATTTCTTTTGCACAGGCAGATGATTCTGAATGTACTATTTACCATTCTTTTACGCTTTCAGTCCATAACAATCATGTAAGTGGCAGCCCTCTGCTAATTCACACTCAGTAGCAGAAGGCAGCATATAGACATGATCTCTGAGTTAGGCTGGACCACTCCTTGGCATAAATAATGCACAGACTGTGAGGCGATACGCATTCCTGCACTCCCTATGCTTTGAAGAGCTCATCATCCTTGTAGCAATAGTTCAATAGTCTGCTGTTAGTATTACCATACCTCAATCCATGTTCACCCAAAGGCAATATTGTGGCTGCATCTACATAGCACTTGAAACCTAATATTCAGGAGCATCAAGATGCAGCAACTCTCTGGCACTTTGAGGGAAATTAGGAGTGACAGTGCCTTGGAAATATCAGTGCCAGAGGGGACCAAAGTCATTGGTTTATTCAGAGTAGGACAAGTTTCTACCCTAGTTTTTGCCCAGGGAAAGGCAAAGGCAAAGAGTTGAACATGTGCTCCCTGAAAAGACAATCAGTGGAGGTGTGGAGTGGGAGGCAGACACTGATCGTGGCAGCCCTGTGCATCCTAAAACCTCTCTTAGCAGAGTAATTATCTCTTCCACACAGGCTCTGAAAGTCATTGGGGGAAATTCCCTGTGACTGCAGTACAGTCAGATATTAATAAAATCTTTTTCTGCTTTTACAACATATTTATATGTAAGTGTGATTTAGAGTTCTCTGTCAAGTCGTCACCAGGGCTGCAATCCAGCGACCTGCAGAAACACAAAGTATTTCTGCAGTTCAGGATAATGTTGATTTAAGGGCTGGTACAATACCACACATGGGCTATTTTATTTAGTTTCTTGGCATTTGTATTCAAAAATTGCTCTATATAGAAGGGAGAAGGCATTAAATAAAGTCTAAATGCTCTTAAATCACAAAGAAACACTGTGTTTAAAGCGAACTGAAACATTTGGATAGGCCCAAGATTGCTTTTTTCATGGAGAAATATTTTGTTGATGTGTTAAATTTAAACTGAAAATCTTTTACTGTGACTTTTTCATTTTTTGGTACTCTTCTTAGATTATCAAAATAAAATGGGTATTATTCTTCCAGCTCTTTGAAAACACAGGCTGGTCTGTGATTTGATCTCATGCCTCTAAAATCTGTTAGGACTGGGCCCAAGATTCCTTGCATTGGACACCTTTAAGTGAGGTTTTCAATTCAGCTTCCTAGTTGCCAAAAAATCAGGAGCATTGCATTGTTTTTAGTTTTGCTTTTTCCATAGTTTTCATTTTGACTTCTGGTTTTAGGGGATTTGCAGTGTTCCTATTTTAAAAGTTTTTTTCTGCAACCACGAGTGACAAAACTGTTTTTTGACATTTTTTTTCTTGTAATGAAAGCTGCCATCCATCTGAACTCTTTCTGTTTCAGCATCAGGTGCTTTAATAACACTTTCATGTAAAAAGGAGATCTGGACTTTCACTGCTTTGGGCAGCTCAGGCATCAGCTCATCTTGAGGAAACACCAATAAAGTATTGGAGAGCCAAAAAGAAGAAAATGAACCTGCAGAAGTTAGAGGGCTACGCTGATTTAAGGAGGATGGGGGAGCTATCATGACATCTATATTTAAAGGTGTTCTCCTTGAGACTGCTTAGAAGTTCTGCTCCGAAGGCATAATAGTCACTTGGCAACCCACATGTGCTGCAGCTCTGAGGGAGGTCAGCAAGGGAGTAGATGTATCCAGGTTAGTTGTCCTCCTAGGTTGTTCCTTACTTTTAAAAGGGTTACTCCCATGGGAATTTCAAAACGGGACTAATGTAGAAATTATGAGGTTAAGCACTGGAGACATTAAGAGCCCAATTTTGAAAAGCATCTTCTACAGTGAGAAAAGTACCTTTCGAAGAACATCAGTAATGCATGCAGAAATGAAAACACATCTGAAAAAGTGATTCATTGTTTACCTTGCCTGCAAAGAAAAATGTTTTTACTTCATTAGGGTATTATCAAGGTTTTTAATACCATATCCACTTCTTTCTATATTCTTCTCTTCATTTGAAATCTATGTTAAACCTCTTCCTTACAACTCCTGTGATTAGCATCTTTGTAGCAATCCCAGATAACAGGCTTCTAAAAGTGGCATTATGTTTCTAGAGCCTCCCTGTAATTAAATATCTATCAGGCCTTCTATTCAGTTGTATATAACTGCTCTGCAGAAAATCTCTCTTTTCTTGAATAAAAAGCCATGTTTTGTTTAACCTTAGCAGAAGGATTGCATTTATGTCATGAAATATAAGAATTTTTGGTCTTTATTAAACGCAATGAGCTGATCAAAAATCATCCACTGAAGAAAAAAAAGGTATACATTTCTTAATGGCCGCAAGATGGTCTGCAACCAAGGCAGAGGGCAGTTCCAGTTCCTATTGGAGACCTGGTGGGAAAGGATTATGCTGTCGTGGTTTAAGCCCAGACAGCAACTAAGTACTGTGCAGCAGCTTGTCCACCTGATGGGAGCAAGGAGGAGAATCTGAAAAAGTAAAACCTGCAGGCTGAGATAAGTTTAATAATTGAAGTAAAGTAAAACATAAAATAACAACAACAATACTAATAATGGTAATGAGAAGGGAGATAACAAAAACAAGAGAGAAATAAAACCCCAGAAACATAAGTGATGCACAATACAATCGCTCACCACTGCTGACCAATACCAGCCTGACCCAAGCAGTGATAGGCTGCTCCCAGATGACTCACCCTAGTTTCTTTACTGAGCATGATGTTCTGTGGTATGGGATATCCCTTTGGCTAGTTCAAATCAGGTGTCCTATCTCTGCTTCCTCCTGGCTTCTTGTGCCCCTTGTCACTGACAGCACATGAGAGACTGAGAAGTCCTTGACCAGGGTAAGCGCTACTTAGGAACAACTTAAACATTGGTGTGTTATCAGCACTGTTCTCAGACAAAAGCCAAAACACAGCACTGCACCAGCTATTGGGAAGAAAATTAACCCTATCCCAGCCAAAATAGGACAGATAGAAAGAGCTCCACCAAATAACAATCAATTCCATGAAAAGTTTTATTGAATTTGATAGGGGGATTGTTAAACATCACCAGGTGCAAGTGATATTTCCTTATCCACAGTAAAGAAAAAAAACAAGTTTCACAGTCACTTCAGTGAGACTGCAGCTGCCCAGCCATGAGAATGTGAAACATGCTTTTTTGGCTTCAATAGTGTCAACACAAGATGCAAATGTTTAATGGTGAGTGCAACTCCAAGTGAAACACCTTGTCCTAGGCACTTAATGATGTTTTCATCCTGTAGAGTCTAGATCAAAATTGGACTTTGTTCTGTAGCATGTGCTTTTGCAGTGTTGTTATTATCTTGTCACACATCAGTATGTGTGGAGTTGTCCCTGAAGTCCAGCTCATGGGCTCTGGAAGTAATCTTAGCTACAAAAGTTTTGGTAGCTTTATATATGAATTCAGATTTTAGACTCGCTTGCTGCCAATTTGGCCTCTTACATCCATGGATAAGAATGGATAAGATGCTGTTTGAAGGATTATCATGCGCAGGTGAACCTCTAGCCTTTTGCTCATTCATGTGCTCAGGTACCACCATCCCCATTTGAACATTTTTCTTTTAAAAAATATTGGGGGATATTTGATTCACTTGTAGTTATAAATGGTTACAAAGATGAAACAACGCATATTTGACAGTGGTGCAACGAAGATATACTTCAGAGTAAAGTGGGAAGGAAGATGGATAGGAGACAAAAAAGTGCCTTTTATCAGATGTTAAAGCTAACATGAGTGTGACTTCATATTTTGAGCTGTATCTACTGACTTGAAAACCATGCTCACTCTGATGTTTAATTTGTCATTCTAGTAACTCAATAGACTGAAATGCTTAATTTTATGCTTTTATTTATATATCAAGATGATGAAAATCAATGTTCTCATTTAGCTTCATACCCAGCCCAAAGATGAATCTACACTTTCAAACTCACATAACAGGATTATGTGAGCAAGCAACTTAACCTGCTTGAAGACAGGTATATTTCAATCTCCTGTCAAAAAAGGTATTCAGCATCTCTTCTAGTTTTGTTGGTCAGAATAGTCTTTGTATGAAAAAATACTTTATATTTGAGAATATGTAAGGTATCTCATATTGTAAAAGGTATGGTCTCATTCAGACCTTGCTCAAGGCTTGCTGATGCCGTTGAAAGTCCTTCTAGATAATTCAAAGGGTTTTGGGCTAGTACATGTAATTTCTTTTATTTAAGTTTTCATTTTCTGAAAAAATAGTACAGTACACTTTATTAATGCATTGTATGGCACTCTCTGTAATAAAACAAGTGCAAAAAGTAAACAAATAGCTTTTAATTGAAAGTGTTTTTTGTTTTATTTCTCTTTACAGGTTACCTTGAAGAAAGTGAGATAAATAATATCCACATCACAAGCAATTGCAAATCTTTTCTCAGTTACAACAGCTTGTCAGACGTCTTTCATGTTTGACGTACCATTATACTGGAGTTTCAATTAGAAATACTGCTTGTAAAATATTTGAGATCACTCTCCTTACAATCTGAAGTTACTTTTGGCATCACTCCATTAAATTAATGCATATACATTTATCCATTAATTTCAAAGCTTATTTTTAAAAATTAATGTAATATTGATACCTAATGTTTTCTTAATAATAGACCACTTCTTTCTCCCTCCACCATCCCCACTGTTTATCAGGAATGTTGGTCACAGTTAAGTATTAAGATAAAATCTACACATGGCTTATTTTTAAAAGTCCATGGCTGAGCATTTTTTTAATCATCAAGGAAATTACTATATAAGAATAGAACTCAATAGCAAGACCCCAGATGTCAATATATGGTTTACCCTTTGGGAAAATTTTATTGCTTCAGAGATTAAACCTGTAAAAATATAAGCACACAAAATTTTCTGACAGAAGTAAATTTGTCTCAAATAAAGGTTTTTTATGCATTCTAGCATAATAGTAATCTTAGTTCTATTTCCAAAATGCAACATTATCCACAAATGTTTCTTCTGTTTATCTTTTAAGTTGTAGCAGCAGTTCTATGGGGTTTGGTTTTGAATCATCTTCCTACCCTCCATGGAATATTGCTTTTAGGAGGACTTTGGCTAGTTTGTTGCAAAACTGTGCCTTGTTTTGCAGGAAAAATAAGGTACTTATGAGAGCAGGGGCTAGACCCTGGGATACCCACCCCAGCATGGAGCAGGGCTGAGGTTCTCTGTCTCAGGAGCTTTAGCAGCTTCAGAGCAGATTAAGAGCTGCATTATATATGAGAGCTGCAGTGTTAACTTTATCAAGAAAATTTATTTCTCTGTTCTTCCCAGACCATTACAGGCCGCTACACTAAAACTAAGGTCACATCTAGGTGTTGTGCTAAATTTCTCTGATAATGAATCTGAGAGTACCAGAGATTAACTAATGCTGATGTGCCCAGCATCACAATGCAACAGAAAGGAGGCCAGCTATGGTAATGGAAAATCTGTTAATCTGTTGTATTTAGAAGAACATAGATTTCTTATTACGCAGTAACAGTCAGAGGAGGGAAAAAAAGATCTCACGTACTTGATATTTTTGGAATCCTAATTTCTTCACTGCTGCTGCCATCCCCACTGTCACTGACTGTTCTTATTTCTATGAGATAATCTTCTTCAAATGGTACCAGAAATTCAGCTGAAGTGTTGTCTCCAGTATATGCGTTTTGCTATGTCTGTTTTGTCTATACAAAATCTAAGTTAAAAGGGATTAGAAAGCAGGAGTTATTTAGTATATTTTTAGGTTTTTATGGATTTTTGGAAAGTTAAGAGTATCTTCTGTCATGTCCCAAAGTTTCCAGAGCACTATCAGCATCCTGCAGAGGATTAAAATTAATTGAAAACATAGAAATATATTCTGCAGATTTTTGTGATGGAGATCACAGTGGGCATTTACTCCAGCTTTCGGGGGAGCCTCTATCTGCTAGAATAAGATTATGAATCCCTATCCAAAACATTTATATTGTTCTATAAATGTGCACCTTTAAACAAGACATCAACCTGTAAGAACGTTTATACCCAGAACTCATCAAATGCTTTAGGAACTAAGGGTTTAGTGGTTTCAGTTTGGTTTTTGTTTTTCTGTTGGTTTGTTGTTGTTTGTTTTTTTTTTTTTATTTTCCCTGGTTGTAGTGAGCATTTGTAGTCAAACAGAAATACTCACATTGATTTCTGTGTAAAATTACCACCTGTTAATGAAAACCTGGGATGTTGCATAGCAGTATGTTCTTAAAAGCTTCAAGAAAGGACAGAAATTTGGCTAGTAGCATCTAGGAAGCACATTTCTAACTAAACATAATGGATCCAGAGCCTGCTTGCACATAGGTCTTTTTGCTAATGAATCACTGGACCAAGGTGCAGAGCAGCAGAGCAGCTTGGGGTGTCTAGACAAGGATCCTGCAGACTACGAACAGCTTTTTGCCTTCAAGAAGCCTTTCTTCCTTGCTAGCACATCGATGACAGTGTTTGACTTCTTTCCTTTGACAATCTTTTGACATATTTATGCTAAGAAGAGCAACTGATGAGCAAAGCAGAAGGAGAAACAAGGATCATACAATAAATAGCATAGCAAGCACATAAAAACTCTTTCCACACCAGAATGTTTTAAGTAAGTGTAGCCTAGAAGCAGGTAGATTAGACACAAAGGAAAAAAGCTTAATTGTCTAGTTTTAGCTTTCTTCCCAGTGTGTGGAGCTACTCAAACACATTCACTAGAGTGCAAAAGAATATGCAAGAAAGATTGCAAGCTGGAAAGCTTTGTGTCCTTTTCCACCCTAGATATAAATAACTCTTCGTAGACACTAAAATCCCTAGCAACATGAGGATTTTGATCTTGAGGACCTTTCCTCCTCTAAGCACTCTTCACCTCCATTTGTAAAGTCTTTCAGGAGTAAAAAGTCTTGGCATGAGTCTTTTGGGGTCAGAGCCATTGCAAACAAACTTTGAACTAATTTTTTTCCCTTTAAAAATAGATTTGTGTGAGTGCGTTTACTTCATTCATGTTGAACTTTACATACCTTCCTTCTCATTTTCAAAGGTACATTTGTGAATTTCCAGAGAGTGGGGACTTTTAAATGTGTCCTATGCCTGTCTTTAATGATTAAGAGGCTGTGCTCTACTCCTTATATATGTGTGAATCTCCTTCCCCTAAAGATTTGAATGCAAGAATCTTAGATGAGTGAGATTATAAGGGAAAAAGGGAAAAGAGAGATCTAGTGTTAGGGACAGAAAAATCCTGTGTCAGGATAAATAAGTCTTACTCTGAACAAACACAGCCATTCTTCCAGTTTTATAAATTTCAGCAAACCTTTACAATATATCCATGAGAGTCACTGTTTTCCAGGTAATATACAGTCACCTTTCAACAAGTGACTCTTTGTACCTCTATTATAGAAACCATGTCTGATGAATGAGATAAAGAAATTACTTACTTTGTAGCCTAGCATCTCTGATTTGTTCTCCATTGTTTTTACATGTTCCCAGTTCAAACAGATTTTGGAATTTGTCAGTTTCCAGGCAATGTTTGCCGGAGGTTGACTTGGTGCTTTAAAAAAATATGATGATAATCAGAAGATACAACTGAATATTAATTTGCATCATGTAATTGAATGAGCTGCTGACACAGAAGCAGCAAATGCATGGGTGATTCAAATCTAAGAGTAAAAAATTGTTTCCAGTCCATCATTGCTCCCACATTAGTCAGAATAAAGCTCTATTCATAGCACAAAACCACTTACTGTGAGAGTTCATTTTCAAAATTAGGGAAATCCTGACAGTGTCTGACAGCTCAAGTTATATTTGATAGATTTTGTTTAAGTCCTGTCTTCTTATCTGTATTTTAATGTACTAGAGAATGTTTTGCTGTGTGGATTTCAAAAAAAAGGTAAAACTAAGAGCAAAATACAGAAGATAAGATTTTCATCAGCCATGGGGACAGGTTACAAAGAGCTACACATTAAAGTCTCCATATGATCCATCATGAAACATTGTAGATTTTATAAATTCCCAGCACAATAGGCTGAGAGTAGCTTTTCAAAGGCTTTTCATGCCTAAGTGCCAGGACTTTGAAAATTTGCCTACAAGTGACTGAAATTGAATCCTGTGTGAACATGTGAAGCTGAAACTGTGCCTTTGAACCCTATCTCAGATTTAGAACAACACATTATCTCCTCCATCGTGCATCCTCCTAGACCCTGCCTGGGAGGACAGCACTGGGGATGTTAGAAGAAATAAGGACTTGAACAGAATTTAGAAAAAGAGAGAGACTTGGAGGAACACATTGTGAGTATCCCAGATTTGACTTTAAAATGCTTAACTTCCAGGATCCTCATTTTCTCCCTGTGGTTCCTATAAATTGATGATTAATGTAACTTGGAAGATACTGTTGATTTGATAATACTCCACAATTTCTTTAATTTCCCATGGAGATAGAATAAATTGATGGTGCCTGTTGTTTCATATCTGTCTGCTTCTTGACTATGGAGAAGTTTAATCCATCCCACCAGTAGGGAAAAAAAGTGTTAGTGGGCTACCCAGGTGAATATAAGCAGATGTCCTTCCATGTGCCATACTGTCACTGCTGAAAAGAGATTAATTTTCTTTTTGAAGATATTTATATTTAAGTTAATTAAACTGCAAATTAACTTAAATGTTGGTTGAAACCTCGTTGTTGCTTTCAGCAAATATTTTGTATAAGGAATTTGGTAACAAAAAACCTCACAACAGGCAATGGATGTCAAATTGACTGTGTATCCTGAAAAGTCTTGGAAGCACTCAAAAAGGGGTGAATACTGCCCTATTCAAAGCTTTTTAGCATAGCAATTAAAACCATTTCAATTCATAGTTTTGGGGCTGAAAAACTACCATCGGATGAGTTTCAAGACAAATTAATTGGTTTTGCTATACAGCTGGGGACCAGAATAGAAGGTGATGCAGCACTTCCCTAAATCCATAGCAATATCTGCAAGCAAAACCACTGCAAAGAGTTCTTCAGTTCTAGTATTAGGAGATAATTTCCTCAACTACTTTCTTGTAATAATCGAAATCCCAACTATATGCTTCAGTTTGTTAAGTTAATGACGTTACTCTTGTGTTTAGGTAGCACTTTGTTGCTGCACTGAATTGAGGTTTATCCTTGCAAAGTATTTCTAGTATCTGTATTTTTAAGTAAAAAGAAAAAGCAAAGCAATTCCTGAAATCCATCATCTAAGTAAAGAAGCAGAAGAGCTGAGCTCCACAGTGGCTCCTGATGGAGCAATACGTTCATGGAAGGAGGACATAATTTCCCCCTTCCTGAGTAGTTTAAACTTAAATGAGGATATGAACTTAGACTTTAAATTGATCTCAGATAAGTATGTTTCAATCAGAATTGCACCTATTTGGCAGTAGGACCATTTTACTTCTGCTTAGTCTCTACAATAATGGCATGCACAGAACATTGTAGGAATCCTGGATGATGAGTAGGAAGACAGAGCTATTACATTGAAGCTAAAGCTCCGGCGGTAGATGCACATTGTTTATATTCTCTTGACATATTATCTCTACTCATATTGAAAGTGCTTGCATTTTTCAGAGGCTAACTTAAAAATTTAATATATGTTTTTAAATATTAAAAGGGTTGTTTTGACTTTAATTTTTAAGTGACCCATTAGCACAATCCTAAATTTGACAGAAGATGAAGTCAATGTAAAACAAAAGCAAATTTATTCCTTATACATCTTGTCTCTTGACTGCCATGTCTTTAACTTGTCTTTCATACATATGCACATAGGAATTTAGAGAATAATTTACAGAGATTAGTCCGCTTTCCCTTAAGAAATTGCCTGTGAGAAAAGTCCTCTTTGAATCCTTAAGAAATACCTTCTCTGGCTTTATTTTGGTTTATGTTATTTACACTAAATAGTAACTTTAATTGGCATCTCATTTTATAAGTTGGTTTCTGTCTTGCACTTTGAGAAGTAGCATGGAACAGCACATAGACAAGAGGAAAATTGTTGAAAGCAGGACAGATATTTCCCCTTTTGTGCCTTTTCTGCAAAAGCTCTGATCAACTATTTACTGGGAGAACATAATCCAAGGAAAGTATAAAAACAATGGAGTGCTTAAACAGCAACGAGTTTGGGGGACTCTGGTACATAGCAGATTACCAAGATTTACTGCTTTATGATTATTTTGCTCTTAGTGAACATTTACTTTATAGGTACAATCCTGCAGGATGGTACTCAGTGCTTCCTTGTTACCTTGGAGGGTGGCCACATGAAAGCACTGGTTTCATGAAGGTGCTTCTCACAAACAGAATAACATACGTCTTTGCTTCTAGGATTCCAGACCAAACAGTATTTACATGAATGTATTCATACATATATATACCCCCTATATATACGAATACCCCCCCTTTGTATTTCACAGTCTAAAGGTCTCAAAAAAGCACTTTATTTGGACCATTCAACAGTTTTCTTTAAAGAAACAAACCCATATTCCCAATAGCCAAATCTATTGTTTGATCCACGGAACATCTTTCTTTTATTGACTTTACATATCATTGGAAATTTCCTGAAATCAAGTGGCATGCTGTTGCAGTGCAAAAGGAAATCCTTCCTAATGGTTGCTATATTGTGTGAACACAGACACTGGTGTTATCTAATTTTGTAGGTGTACTGAATTATTTTAGCATATAAATAGAATAAGGCAAATGAAATAACCTGCTTTAAGTTGATGAGAATTTTAGCTTCCTTTGAGACAGACCTGAAGCTAAATATTTATTAATGTCTTAAATACCAGAGTCTGAGTAAACTTGACAGTGACCACAAAAGTATTATCAGATAAGACTTAGAGAAGTTAGTCACAGATTTTGTTGCTTAATTTTATGGAGAGATATGGGATACAATTTTCTTTGATATTGAAACATTTAGCAGAGATGGGTCATGGTAAGCTGAAATGTCACTATCACATTTGGGATTTGGCAACATTTATTGTACTAAATTGAATACTCACGTGACTTTTTAGTGGTGACATTTACCGGGGTGCTAGAAGGCCCAGACCCTGCAGTGTTGTAAGCTCGAACTGTTGCAAAATAGACTGTGTTAGCTTTTAGTCCTGTGATATTTTTGGCTGTTACATTCCCCCTGACTCTGACTTTACCAGCTGTGCTTTCCTTGCGATCATCAGTCCAATATAAAACCTGAAAGGCAAGAACAAAGAACAGGCAATTCATTGTTTTCCATCAATTACAGATTTGGCTGGGAAGCAGACATGCTGACAATGAAGATTTCAAGGAATTCAGGATTTTTTCGTATTCAAAACTAGCAGGAAATAAAACCAAGTGTGAATATTTATAGAGAAGAAATAAAATTTCAGAGACTGAATACCAATTAAGGAAATAAATGAAATCCTTAACTTTATAGATGTCTAAAAAGAAACCTTTGATAAGGTGAGATATTTTAAAAGCTCATTTGGTTTTATGGTTTGAATGCATTTGAAGAAAATTTTAAAAGGTACAAAGAAACATTAATCTCAGTCATCTAAGAGATCTTTTAATTATTTTGTGTCCTGCCTTTGGTTTTGATTCAGGGACTGCTATTTATACCTGATGTGTTTTTTTACCTCTGAGTAATTGATTTAACAAAGTTTGTGTATAGTACATGACTCCTATTACCTTCATTTATACATTTATAATTATAGGACAGAATTTAAAGTGTTTCTGACTTGGTTTACTATTGGTTTAACTTATCTACAAAAAACCCTACTGTGTAACTAAAATGCACAGGAATTATATCTGAGGTTACTTTGAAGTACCCCTGTTACTAATACAAAAACGTACTCCCTCTTTGTCTGCTGGAGGCACCTCCGGAATCAAGTGAGTGTCCTTTTTTAGTAGCCATCACACATGATTAATCTTGAGGTTTTACTGTACATTACAAAAAGTCCAGAGCTGCAGTCCTGGTCTGTAAATGTTTGTGAATATCTAAGGTGAAATGTTGCTAATAAGAGTCATGTGAAGAGCCCCGTTGTCTGTTGACTTGGAAGCAAGGAAGGAAGTACCAGGATACAAATATGGCCATGAAAGGGATACCTGTAAGGTGTCAGACACCAGCACTGGCTCACTCCATAGCCCAGCACCCTGCCTGTTTGCCTGTTCCATGCGATGGGCTTCCAGGAGATCTCTACCTCTGCCATTGAAATACTCAGTGCAAAAGCCCTCACTGGTGCTGTCTGTGGCTCTGGGTGATGAGAGAAAACACAGCTGGTAGAACATTTGTGTTGTGTCTGTAGGAGATTCAAGAAGAAAGGAAGAGATTCTGGGGGGAAGCAGTTCCCAGAGGCTCAGGAAGCCTGGTGTGAGCTGCTAGCTTTACCACTCATTTATTGTGGAACATCAGCAAAACCTGTTTTCAAAATTGGTCATTACCCGTAAGCTGGGAAATATTTTCAGACTGCTCCGCTACACTGAGCAGTCGGAAAAGCTAGACCCTCTGAAGGCTAGACTTTTGGATGCCTCCCGATTTTCCCAGCTTACTCAGTGGGAGCTTCCTGGGGACCAAAATATTGAAACATGGTGTATACATAAAGCGATTCTGAAAACCTGCGCCTTGCTTTTTTGTTTACTTCCATTTTCCATCTTCTGTCATGTGGCTTGAACAGGCTGCTTAATATCCCTGTGAAGATCTGTTTGATCACACCTGGGACCTGTTGAATGCTACACAACCATCACTAATAAAAGTAACAGGCATTACCATCTTCCCCTGAGTAGATGATGGAAATGGAGCTCAGAGTCCCTTCTCCTTCATTGTTGTAGACGCCAGCTTTCACTTCAAAAGGAGAGAGAGGTTTAATGCTTTCATTCCTATAAACATATTTGCTTGCTTCCACTGAAGCCACCACTGCTTTTGTCCAGTTTGCTGAGCCAAGATGACGAAACATAACGATGTAGCCAAAACCTTCTCCATTTTGTAGCTCTTCTGAAACTGGCTGTAGTGACAAAGCAGTCAGTCAATGAGCATTTGCAAGTATACACTATTTTAATTGAATCTTCATTCCCTGACTATATTTTAGCAGTATTGATTTAGTTGACTGTGCCTTAGAGAAGATAATAATGTTTGCTCCATCAGTCAATGTAATATTGAAATAAAAATCAAAATAATAAATCTATCGAGGCAATCAATTTAGAAACAAAAAAAAAGCTGATCAGCTCCATTAAAGTTATTCTCTTTCAGGCATGAAGTTTTCAAAATTAAAAGCATTTTCTTCAGTACAGGTTGTAGCTGACTTTTTTTCTTTTTTTCCCCAAGGGGTGTAGGAATGTTAATTTTAAATAAATGATTCTTAAAGAAAAAAATAAGATTTGGCAAGGGAGCAAATGTATACACACAAGTGTGGTCAGCTGTAGAACTGCCTGCATGAGTCTCAAGTGCATGAACATATTTAAGTTTGTTTAGAATGGAACTGTTATCGCAAGTCAACATGGCAAAATTAATGCTTCTATTAATAAAATCTTATGCCAAGATATGTATTAATGACTCATACTGAACAGGCAATTACATCAACACTGTATCCAGCATGAAATTTTTTGTTTTCATGGGATAAAAATACTTCTCTATTAGCTTCTCAAAGCAAGGGAACATTTATGAAACAAGAAAAGATCAGTAGTACATGGAGGAAGGAAGCATTTATTAAGAAAACTTCATTTATTTCAGATCCTTGCATCAGAGTGAGGTTCATGGAAAAGCAGATATGGAAAACAGTGCAGAAAGAGGGAGAAAAACACAGGGACAGAAGCGCAGACCCTGTGATCCCTCCTGGCTCCAATCTCCTCTCCTGCAGTCATTCCTGGGAACAAGGAGCACTGATGGTGTAAGATGATGGGAGAAAAAAATCAGGAAGTACATCAGAAGATTTCAGGGCACTTATTTTATTATTTTCCTCAGAAATTCCTTCTAATAATAAGCCTGGCCTGGCATAAATAACAAAAGTGTCTTCCCTTAGCTGTTTTGCAAACATTAATTCCCCAATATGCCCTCTTCTATCTCTTTTCCTGTCCTGAGAGAGTTAAACGTGAGGTATGATGGTTCACTGGGGATTTGTAAGAGTTCAGGCTACTTTCTAGAGCATTTAATTTGTTTTTGAGGCTTCTGTGACCTCAGATTTAATCAAGGTGTTTAGTGAGTTCATCACAGAAAGATAGAGAGATGTGTTCAGTGTTGTTAGCTTGGCATAATTAGTATTTCTTCTGTCTATTTTTCATGACACACTATGGAGTCCAACAGGGTAATTTGATTGAAATGTCTCAGGTTGTTTTCAATTTTCATGTTCTTCTGCTCCCAAAGAGTAGAACAGTAGAGGAGAAAATGAAACAAAAGAGTGAAAGATACTATGGAGGACAACTTAGGTCAGTAAAAGTGAAGTTTCATTCTGGAGCATGGAGAGTGGGAAGCATTTGAAATAGTATTTATCTAGTGGGGATTTTTTTTATTCTGTTTTTTGCTGGCACTTCCCTTCCTCCCCCAAAAGGCTAGTCAAATGGCACAGGTTTTTAGCATACAGGAGAACACAAGTAACTCACTCAGCTGATGAATAGCATCACTTTTAGTTTAATTTAATTCCTTTTCCTTTCCTTCAGTACATAAGCTTGGTTGTTTCTTTGGGAAAATAATGAACTCAAGGGAGAGAGACTGCTTTTCTTGCTTAAGCTGAGCTAGAAGTCTCTTTTTCTTTTTTTTTTCATGAAGAAATGTTTTCCATGACTTACAAAGGGAGCCCCACAGTTTTGGATGCCCTGTCCCAAATTAGGAACTGAAGAGAGAGCATCTTGTGCATCCTCTGAGACAGTTAGACCTGATAGTGAGATACGTGGCCAGGCTGCCTGGCTCTTGACCTCCAGTCTGAGTGCTGCTAATGGCATGGAGTAGCTCCTACTTTAGTTATATACCCTCAGACCCAGGGGAGAGATTTAATTAGGTGAATCACATTAACTTCATGTATACTTTTCAGGGGTAATAAAAAAACAGAGGGGAGGAGATGCGTTTTGGGGAGTTTTTCCATAGGGTCTCAAGTTCTAACTAAGTGCTTGCCCCAACCCTGCATGGGCTTTGCAAGAGGCTGCCTGCCTTCATCAGGATGCTTCCAGGGAGGCTACTGTGAGGCTGGCGAAGGGAAGCTCCTTCCTACAATGCTTACTTTCTGCTCTCTGAAATGACCTGTGCTCATCCATTGCAACTTATAGTATGGTATTAACTGTTCTAAAAATGTATATTCTCTCCTCTCACTGGAGTGCTAGAGAATTAAAGGGCTCATCTCCTTTAACGCATAATAGGATATGTCTTGTCAGCACAGCGTTCCAGAATGGAAAACATGTAAACAAAAGTATGAAAAATGTTAATGCAGAAAATGGCCAAGCAGATTAGTGTGTTAAGCACCTCCTGTACAATGAAGATAAGAGGGTTATATAGACTTCTAAACATCTTTATAACATGCCTCTTAAACTGTTTATTTTTATAAATTGTTCACTATAACACAGAAAACTTGCTGTATATCTTACAGGCTGTTTTCCCTCCAGATGCAGGATGAAATCCAGGCTCAGCCCAAGGTAATGACCGAAATCCTCTGGATTTCAGCAGGGCTGTGATTTCACACATGGACCTTCCCCATTAGGTGGCTTAGGTTAATTGAGCTAACAATTACCTCCCATGTGATCACCATCTCAGAGAGGCTTCCTCCTCCTCCACTGATATTTGTTGGTGCCACAGCAGGAACTGGAAAAGAAAAGACATTGGTTCTTGCAACTACCCACAACTACTGCCATGGGTCTTGTCAACTGAATGCTTAGAGCTTTTCCAAGCTTACATGCAGCCATTCTGCCTTTCAACACATAGAACAGGTACTATATTGTATAACAGTACATTTTAAATGAACTGAAATGATGTTTACACATTTTCACGTTTATAAGGCTGAAGCCACAGATGTATGTGATACATGAGTACCTTGGTTCCAAAAATTAATTCAAGAAGCTACTAGCATCAAGTATCTGACATTATTATGCTTCATCAACTAATTGGCAAAATGATGTTCTATTCAGACTGTAGCTGCAACACTTCTGATTTACTAATTATGCATTTGTTCAGTAAACATGTTGTTGGAACAATGTATTATTTTTTTTTTTGTAATTGGCTGTATGCTTTTCTTAGGAAATTCAAAACTTGCAATTTGCTTTTCTCCGTCTCCAAGACTGTAAGTGTCCAAAAGTTCATTAATTAGAGCTTGAATTCCCCAGCATTGCTCTGGGTGTATGGCACAATGGGTACAAGGTTGAGGTCAGGCAATATGCTAGTGTCCCTGGCTGAAGGGGCCTTGTCACTCAGGTGACTCTTGGTGGCAAGGCAAAGAAAATATCAGCATTTTTTTCCTGTTGCTTTATATTTCCATAAACGTGCCCATCCCATTAGCCTATAAATATTGACAATTTTGAGGAACTAAAGTGTGATATAATGGATGGAATTTAGACAGACCAGCCTTGTTCTAATGGTAAAGTTCACGATAGGTCTACCTGCAAGGATAATATCATGTTCCTTTTCAGCTTCTGAGGGCAGCTCTGTAACTGACTGAGCAGGAACCACCAATAAGAGGGCATTTATACTCTTTTCCATCTCCAAATCCTTGGTACTATTTTTAGAAATTTCAAGATTGCTTTGTTGTCCCCTTCATTCAGCTCTCACAGTCTGAAAATTGGATGTGTCAAGACAGGGCTGAAGACAGGGTAGAAATGGGTAGGATGGTTTCATCTCAAGCTTGTTCAAAGGTTTCACAAGTTTTACAATGTCTTCCTGTCCTTCCCCATTCATCCACCCAGTGTTAGGCCAGCTGCAGGAGTGACAATAAAAAGGCAATAGCCCTTTCAGTTCATGGAAATTTATGTCAACTCACTATCACTGCTAGATTCTGGTACACATATAAATCTTCATCTTATTCCATCCTCTCTAGAAATGTAGAAATTTCACAATAATTTTGTTATGTAGTCATAAAAGCGAGTGGAAGTGAAAGCAGACTAGCCTATTTTTGAGAGTTCTGCATAAGTATTCCATTTTGTCACTCACAATCAGTCTCTTACACGCATCACAGATAAATAAGATGGAAAAGAACCATGTTAAAGGGAAAAAAAAAAATGCCAAAACAGACTTTCAATCTAGTGTTTCACTGTTTCATGAACCAGTTGATGCTCAATTAGTTCATGTGTTAAATGTGTTTCGTACTTACTACATTTGCATTGGGAAAAATATTTGTACTACTGCTCAGCAGAGCCTCAACTAGGTCATAGTTGAGAAACAGATGAAAGTTTACAGCTGAGTGCACTAACAGAGGCTCAATTAATTCTCAGCTCCACTTTAATGAAATGAACAGTGTCTCATTTGCATCCACAAATCTACTAATGCTCAGATTTCAGCTGGCAAAATAGCTATTATAACAGCAAAGTTCAAATTCACCCTTTCATGCCCAGACTTTTGCTGTCCACGCTATCACACTGCTTTCAGATCCCTAGTCTGATTAAAACAACAACCAAAGAAAAGATAAATTGCTTCTTCTGCCAGTGCAGAGCAGTATTTTGAGACAGAATGATTTACAGCAGTGAAGGGGTTAAGCAACTAAAAGCTGGAATCTTTCTATTCCTTCTGTTAAGCTTCAGACAGTGCTACACTTGTGCTATTGCTATGATAAATAATGTTAATTTTATTGCTTCCTTCTATTTCTAGCTCTAGCTTTGTGAATCCCTCTAATTAAAAAAAAACCAACCCAAAACAAAAACAAACCACCCCACCTTAAAAGATGAAAGCTTCTACTGACTATATAGGTGGGTTTGAACATCACTTTGCAAAGCCCTATGGTGCCAACAGCAAGAAAGACCTTCTCAAGAATAATTTTGACTTCATGATCAGTCATGAAAAGGAGAACATGTATCTGTGATACTCTGGTGGGAAATTTAGAAAATCTGGACCCTTCCTGTCTCCATCTTTTCTTTAGCCTTCCTTGCATGTGAATGTTTCGTAGTGTTTTCCTGCGGGAGGAAGGAGTCATGTACCACTCGGACATGCATCCCACAGACACCCAGGCCCAGGCAGGATTAGTGCATCTTTCCATACTCTAGGCTCTCAAGCTCTTTCCTTTATTTGAGAGCAGCCTGCAATCTGCTTTACTACCACACTGGCCAGGCAGTTCTGACTGCTGATAAGATTCGTTTGATGCCTCTCTGCACCTGGAAAACTGACAAAAATCTATTAAGATTGGTGTTCCAATAATCAAATAGTTTTTTCTGGCATCAGTACTAAGTATGTTTTTGCTTCAACAACAGGAAAGAGAACTTGTTAAACTTAAATCAACTGATTTAATACATTGTGAAGTAATTCTGCCCTGGGACCAATATTGTAGGTATTCTGAGAAACAAATGGATCCCCCTTTCTAAGGATATATGTGTTTGTACTGTATAATGTACAATACTGTATTTTGAGTTCTGTCTTGAAATGCAGCTTGCCAAACTTCAGAGCTTAGCAATTGAGATAAACAGAGAAAAGAAAGTGGATTGTAAAAGCTGCTTCCATTTTACTGCTTTCCATCCTATAAGTACTGATTTTATAGGTAGGAGAGAGTTGATAAGCAGAGGGCTGGCAGAAACATAAACCTAAGGTTTAGACTTCAAATAAATTGTACCAAACTGAGTAGGTCAAAGGACTGACAGTGTCGGTCATCCAAGAATGAGCCTTCTTCCTATGAGGTTCCAAGTCCCAGAGACAGATGTGTAAAGGTTAGACAGTCAGATAGTAAGGATCCTGCCCTGGAGTCAGTGGAAAGTATTAGTTTCAGTCGGCTTTGGATGCTGTAATTTATTTCCTCCAGTTAAAACGAATATCCTGTCCCTACTCATGCTGAGGTATCAAACATCCTCTGCATCAAAGGGTTTACATGCTTGTGCTAGGATATACCAGAGACCTGGCTTTATCATTTCTTATGCAAGTGCCTGATCAGGGTATTAAAGCAATGAAATGTTGTGTTCAGGCATGTGGATCAGATATATTTTGAGACATAATGAAGGGAGGAAGCTCAGGCCAGCTCATAGCCCAAAAAATCTTCAAACCAGAGAGCAAAGTGGGCGGTACCTCAATCATGTCCAAGCATCTTTTGCATGGGTAGTGCAGGTCTGCTGTCATGAAGCCGTACCAGCCACAGACTAAAATGCCAGACAGATAATGTAAGTAACCCTGTACAAATGAGTGGCTCTGCTGCAGTGAAATTCTCACACCCTGGAGGAGCCAATGTGTCTGCATGGAAAAACTGAGGACTTACCTGCTGCTTTAGTTTTCAGTAGAGCTGATTGTCTGCTTGGTTCCCCAATTCCAACACTGTTGCTGGCAACCACACAAAACTCATATTCAACCCAAGGGCTTAATTCAACCACTGTTGCCTTGTGAGTCCTACCACTAATGACTTCAGGAACTAAAGGCAAAATAAACATGTCAGTGACAATGTATTTTTTAAATAATTACTGGTATATGCAAATTAATGTTATATATAAAAAAAACACTCAAATTGCTCACCTGTTGAAACTGTCTGCCATCCAACTGAGAAAGGAGTCCTCGTCTGAACACTGTAGATCTGGACTGGACTATTATTATCTATTCCAGACTTCCGGGATAACACAGCAGTAGTGCTAGAAATATGTTCAACTTTAACATCTTCTGGTGGATCTGGGGTGCCTAATAGGATTAGCATTTTAAGATAGAGAAGATTTGCGGTTGGAATGTGTTAGGCAATTCTTACTTTCTCAAGTCAGTGAAATTATTAATGAAGCTGCAGTTTCATAACAGCAGCACAATATCTAAATGATGGCTTCATGCCTGTATTACATTTTTCTAATTAATGAGGGGTTTTGAGTCAGGAAAATTAATGTCTTCAGGTTACCAATATAAAAACTACAAACAAGGGGATGATTTCTTTTTTTGTTTGACAAAGAAAGTTACCCAATGTGTCTTTTGTTGAGCCATCCAGCGTTTTCAGAATTCCTATTGCATCTAATAAAAACTGAGATTTCGAAAGAATGCAAGGTGGGACACTATGCGGATTTCTGATTTCTGCTAGGATTCAAGGGATCTGCTTCCATCACAGCATTTCTCTTGCTGCTGGCAGTGAAAAGATTAGTTAGTTGACCATAGAAAATTTTTCATATCATCTCCAAATAGTGGAAAGGAAGCAGATCTCTTGGTTTTGGTTTTGGGGGTTTTTTTGAGCCTGCACAGTGACCCAGGCATGATCAGTAAGGAGCAACAGACAGCAGTCTGCTGAAAGTAGAGGACTTCCCTATGCCCTGCCATATTGACCTGTGTGACCAGAAAGGTTTACCATCAGAAGATGCCAAGGGAGAATTGCACAGATCTCGCTGGATTAGCTGCACACTAGGATCATGTTGGCCACAGTCTCAGTTCAATTCTGGGGCCAAGAGTACAAGATATATAGCATTTCACTTTTGAAATGTTGAATTGATATCCTAGAAATCATTTAAACAACAGCTGATGATAAGAGTTTCTAATTCCTCCAGAAGATATACGTGTTTACATTTAACAGACATACCTCTCACAATTATATCTACTGTTGCAGATTGACTGTCTAAAGTTGTTTGTACCCTGCGTACATATTTCCCAGAATGATGTAGCTGAATATTTCTTATCATCAAATCCCTGACAGACTCCTGGAAATACAAGAAAAGTAAACTAATCACTCACAACACAGTTTCCATACTAGACATTTTTATAAATTGCTCCATATTTATAAAAAATTCAGCTTTTAAATTAAAATATTCATAGCTATCATCAGTTTCTTTCATGTGGACATTTTTATTATGGCTTCACAAATAACTCAAGTGCCTTTATGAAATTTAAGAAAGAAAAATAAATAGCTGCAGCCCTTGTAAAGAAACAGTGATTCACCATGAATATAAATAGTGATGGAAGAATTATGATAAATATTTGTGTCATCTAAAGACTGTGGCAAATAGTTTCATTAAGCACTAAGGAGTTTAAGAAACCTACTTTCCCAGTTCTTTCAAAATGATGTATTTCTCTATTAAAATCAATTCTACTGCCATTGAATGACCATATGAACACCACATCGACAGAGGGGTCATGAGACACCTGGCATGTAAGGACTATGCTTTCTCCAACTGTTAGGTCCATATTAGAAGGTGGAATAGTAATTACAGTTCTTTCTGTAAAGACAAAAAAAAATCTTTTTCATTAAAATGCCTATGAAAATAGTAGATCTTGAATGAGTTTTGTACCATTTGTGAAATTATCTAAAATTGGCCAAAATGTTTCATAATAAACAAAATTATCTCTAATACAGTGATGATTTCAGTACACTTACCTGTGTGTAGCCTATTACTTTTGCAATGAGCACACCGTGTGCCTCTGAGAGCGAACAGATGTCAGAGGCAACCTGCTAAATTACTCATGTGTTACTTTGTAAAGCCTATAGTCAATAGATATGATTTCAGCTGAAAAAGTGCAGACTTCATTACTAAGACTGTTAAAAATATGCCCGCGGTTCTTCAAACTTGAAAATCACTCCTTACAGGAAACTGCAGCAACAGCAAAATTGCTGCTGATCTCTGCTTACTTTATACATTGAGATCCTTAATCTATATTAATATTAGTGGTAGTTTCCCGCACAAGGCTGTTTACATTACAGCTTCAGAGAAGATATCTTCACAGACAAAAAACTGTTTATATGATCTCATTTAACCCCTTACACTGAGAAACAAATTTTCAACTCTTATTAAGGGAAGCAGTAGCTCCCTGAAGGGGAAAGAAATAGGTTTATATGGCTTCACTTTTCTTGAAATGACTAGCAGACAGATTAGAGATAACAACCACTTTGTTGTAAGCAATTCCCTTGAATAAAGCTTTTGTGCATGAAAGTGTTATAAAATAGAATTTAGACACATCTATAAAATGAGAGTAGAATCTCTTCAACAATATTAATATGTTCTGAAAATAATGAGCGAGGAGGAGAAGAAAATTTGCATGAACTGTATTAGCTCAGCATTCTGGCTTAACCCTGTGTTAGAGTGTACTTGAAAATTCAGGATTTTAGTTTTACCAAGGCCTTGGTTCCAAAACAATGATGCATGATAGGGCATCCAACCTCTTACCTTCAAATACATTTTCATTCACACTGTCACCATCATTGCAGTAACTGAGTAATATGTAGGTACAGATAGGCAATATGGACTGAAACCTGAAAGGCTTCTTTCCATCATCTGAAATGCACTTGGTGAGGGACTGTTATGGTACTGGCACAAACAAGGTGGAACATTGCATTTTCTCCTAACCTTTTAAAATAAATCTGGATCTCTCTGGTTTCAGTGGTACACTTTCGGTAGGCCTCAAATAATGTTTTGCAATTAAAACAAAGAAAGCACTTGTCTGTTTTGTGGTTTTTTTTTTATAAACAAATTCAGTGTTTTTTTTTCTGGGTATCATTAAGTATCAGACGTTCTCATTGAGTTAGAGCTCAGGCAAGGAACATGCTTTCTCAGATTTCTCTGTGTGCTGTTTTCTTCACAGCCACATATAACTATAATTGTGGCAGCTCCACCGGTTGGTCTGAAGTCAAAGGCTACAAAATGTGAAGGCCTCAGATGACTGTCTTAGAGATACTTAATTATTAGGTTAGAGAAATCTGTTCCTTTCCCTGGAAGCAGTGTGTCAGATGCAATAAATTCCAGATGATTCAAGGGCCAAATTCTTTGTTGGCACAACTCCACTGATTTCAGCAAACCCTGTCAAAGAACTCAGCTCCATAAATCTCAAATGAAGTAATTCCATTGTGAAATACAGGTAACTTTTATAGAATAATTTTGAAAACTACAGAGAACCTCCATGAAGTTTTCTTTTCTTGCTTTTCCTCCTCTATTTCTTATTCTCACAGCTGAAAAAGAACTGTACGAATAACACTTTGAGGACCAAAATATATTACTTGCAATAAAGCTGTATATGTTAAAAAAAAAAAGAAAAAAGAAATAATACCCTGGTATATGATAATAATTGGAAAATTGCTTTCATGATAACTGGACCTTCAATTTGTCACGAGCAGATGGAAAGGTATGATCTTCTGGTCTGATGTGGCCCTCCAAAATCAGCATCTCTTCATCCAAAGTCATCCTGCAAGACTCTCTCCTTCCTTAAACCTATAAACTGTGTTCATCTCCACACTGAGCTTTTAAAGCAAACAGAATATGGCACAGAAGAAGCAAAAGTCTTTCCCTAAATACCAAAATTGACCTCAAAGTGGAAATTCTACATTGCTCTACATTGAATGTTAACAACACACTTTCTCCCAGGATTTTGTCTGCTCTGTCCTTAGCTGTGCAGGAGAGATGTCTCCATACATATTCTCTTATAAATGGTGAAAAAGTTATGCCTGATTCACTAGAGGATGTCAAAGGCTCTGGCAAATTAGCCTGGGCTGTCCCCAGCCTGTTGTAGACCCTGGGTCTGATTGTTGTAGACCCTGGGTCTACATTGGAGCTGGGAGAACCAGGAGCTGGGAACTGGTCCTTTGAAATCACTGCAAGGGTCACCTCCACAGCTCCTGTCTCATGTACAGTGTAACTGCCCTGGGAATGGACAGGGCTGGCCCTAACGAGGCTTATTTACAGCATCAATCAATTAGAGGGTGTCCTGGGTTCAGCAGCAACAGTCATTTTTTCTCCTTCTTAGTAGCTGTTGCAGTGCTGTGTTTTTGATTTTCGGCCTGGGAACAGTGCTGATAACACTGATGTTCTTAGTTACTGCTCAAATGTTTAGTCTGGCCAAGGACTTTGTGAGCCTCATGCTCTGCTAGGGAGGAGGGGAAGCCGGGAGGAAGCCGAGACAGGACACCTGACCCAAACTGACCACAGCACGTCATGCCCAGGAGGTAACTGAGAGTTACCCGGAAGGACTAGTTCACTGTGGGGTTGGACTAGGTATTGGTTGGTGCTCGGGCGGGCAGGGTGGGGTGCATTATCGGTCGGCTGGTGGTGAGGTGTTGTATTCTCTTCCTTTGTTACTTCCTTTATAGTTATTATTATTGGTGGTAGCAGTAATGATTTGTTATACCTTAGTTACTAAACTGTTCTTATCTCAACCCGTGGGAGTTGCATTCTTTTGATTCTCCTCCCCATCCCTCCGGGAGTAGGGGGAGGGCAAGAAGAGGGGGGGGAGAGAGAAACTGTGTGGCTGGCTTGCCGACAGGGCTTAAACCACGACAGATGGACAGCAGCATGTTTCCTGAGCCTCCCACTGGTAAGCTCAGTATTTGGATATGAGTAAACAGTGGTTAGAGGGTTCAGCTTCTCAGCCTTCTCAGCTAGACCCCACAGCCTGATATGAGCTCCTTGCTGCCAGGCATAAACTGCTGCTGGTATTTTGTCTTGCTTAAAGCTGATTTGGGTGTATCTGTTTTGCATTGCTCTGATGACAGCCCTTTGAATTGGGTATTCCCCTAAAACTTCAAATAGAGGCACGTATACCAGGGATGAAATTCACTTTTTCTGCTTTAGTTCATACAGTATCAGTAAAACTTTCTGCTATTACTGAATTGTCCATGTCTCAAGTTCTCCCTGTCCTTCAGATTTCTCTGTAAAATATCTACCCTACATAGACCCACATCACCTCTACTGCCACAAGACATAATGTCACCTAATATTGTAACTCCTGCTTCTCTGTATTGGATGGTTGATCACCAGGATCAGTGCATTTTGACTCTTCTACAATACACTGTGTAAAATTACAGCATTCAATAAGTAAAATACTATAAATAAAATCAATTTATTTCTATGGAAAAGTCAAAATAAGACTTAAGCAAGAATGATGCAAACAGTATTGCATGGAATTTGTAATCAGATTCAATGGTTACATTCAAAAATCCATAGAATACAAATAGGACATTATGTCCTAGTCTTTGCAAAATCTTTAAGCCTCCATCAAAGCCAGCTGTCAAGGGATAATGGGTTTAAACTTAAACAGGGGAAGTTCAGTTTAGACATAAGGAAGAAGTTCTTTTCTGTGAGGATGGTGAGGCACTGGAACAGGTTGCCCAAAGAAGTGGTCAGTGCTCCATCCCTGGCCCTTGAACACAAGGCCAGGTTGGACAGAGCCTTGGACAACATTTTCTGGGGTGAGGTGTCAGTCAGGGAGGTGGAACTAGATGATCTTAAGGTCCTTTCCAACCCAAACCATTCTATGATTCTACGACTCTATGATTCTATGTTTTTATTGTACAGGAAGGGGCCATTAGCTCCAGCTGGCTGTTATAAAACTGGCTGGGAATATTTTGAAACTTTTCTTCATGAGAAGGTTCCATTAACAATATGATTGCCTCATTAGGTCTTTCGTGTAATTTCTTGTGTCATTTTTTGATTACACATGCAAAAAGATCAGAAATGAGACATCTGCAATCCTGTTATAAGAGGTTATTGGAAGGAATGAAAATTCTAGAGATCATTTATGTGTTAAATCCTATTGAATGCCTCCTTAGGGAAAAGATAAATATTTGGGGAAAAAACATGCATTCTGTGGAACTCTCTAGTGAACTGGCATTTTCGAATATCAGAACATGAAGGTTTCTTCTTATAACACAACAAATCCCAAATCTATATCCCATTAGTATTCTGTCTCCTTACTTATTGTCACGAACCTATCTGCCTTCACCAAATAAATATTGAAAACTGTCCTTTAGTGAATTATACTTGGTTTGTGTGTGAGTTGTTTGGGGTTTTTTAGTAATATTAGCAAAAAATCCATTTTATTATGGTTTTATTATCCTTTTCTGTTTCTTGTTCTAGCCTGCTCATATCCAGTGATAACACTGACATAGAGTGGTTCACTTGTGCAATATTTTCTGCTTCTTTTATGGGGCTGTCTTTAAGACTTCCACCTCAAATACTTTTAAAAGCTTTTAAAAGCTCTTGGTTCTACATTATCTATTTATCTTGCTTAGCAACTGCAGACATGGAATCATGGCAAATCCTATTCCAGAGGAGAAAATAGATAAGATGTTGTGAGTGCTGGAGGTATAATAAAGACTTCTCACACAAAGAATAAACAACTCAATGAGCAGCAATAAACTTAATTTGCACATTAGATATGCTTTTCCAAGTTCTGACATTTCAGTTGAAAATAATGCTGAAGCAATGAGGCCTATAATTGAACAGCCAAAACTTCTCCAGAGGGGAAACAAAAACAAATGTTCCCTGCAAACAAGATCATTTTTATACCATGTTGTTACTCAGTGTTTTAATAAACTTCATAAATGCCAAACAAAATATTTTTTCATGTTTTAATGCCATTTTCCCATATTGCTCCATTAGGATGCATGTATGTGATATGTGAAATGGTATACAACCTTAATGAAGTCAGAGCTGCCTAAACCCTAAACCGCTTGGTTTATTCATTGCTAGCTGTGATGTAACATCATCTCAGATTAACGTTGCACTTCATCAATGCTAATTGCTCTTTCATACTATCAGTATGAAAAAGACTTTGCCAGATGCAGTAGGTTAGGGAGGAGGTCATGCCTGTGGGCTACAGCAACCATTCTGAAGTCAGTGAAAAGAAGAATATTAAGAAAAAAGAGATAGTTACAAATTACATTTAATAATGTGCTCTTCTGGTAACTACAGACATTATTATTAGCTGTTTTGCAAAACCAATAAATATGCTTACTATAAGCTCAGAAGTTCCACTTCTTGACTTGTTCTTCTCACTTAAAATCAACAAATTCTAATACTTTTATAAGCAGATGTCTGTACTGAAAAGATCATGTGGGACCAAATAGAAAAAAACATAGTAAGTGGGCCTCAGCTATCAAAGATCAAATCATAGTCATTTCATATGCTGCTCATAGGAATTTCTATTAAAAAAAAAATGATCTCTTTTCATGTCCTCCAGCTCTGGACTACTCTACCTGAGCAATAAGTTTCTACAAATTCTTTTTACTCATGGAGATGGACTATCCATCAGCACAGCAAAAATTTGAAGCAAAGGATTGCTTTGCACGTAATGTACTCTAATGTGTTCCACACCACAATGCATTTAAGTGTGTTTCAAAGAGGGGTGAAAAATACTGCAGGAAAGACACTGCCCTGCTGAGCATCACTGGACTGGGACCAGAGCCAGAGTGTGCCGTCACACCACAAGCTCAAACCCAGCACAAAGCCGCAGCTTTGGAGGGAAAGAGGATTACAGCAGTTGTGACCATGTAAATGTGATGTGCCTCCTAACCCATAACCTGATTTTCTGGATGTTTAAACTGATAACTGCAGGATGGCTGTTAGGGAAGTTATTTATACATTTCCAACTAAAGCATCACAACATCTCCAAATAAAATTCTTCGCCTCATCAAGGTGGTCTGAAAAAATGACTTAGTTGTTGAACTTGCCTGTGCCTCCTAGATATCTCAGCCATGACTTGGTACAAGTCCAGTCCAGTTGGAGAAGATCTGTGACCAGTGAGGGCATGCAAGGAGGATAGAGGGAGGAAAGGACAGAAGAAGGCTTTAGCTTGTCTTTCCAGTCCTAAGACTTTTTTCTGGTTTATATGGAAGTGCTACAAAATGTGACTGGCAGATGATTACATGCACTTAGAGCCTTAATCAAAACCAAGAGGAGGAAAAAAAAGAAAAATAGAAGAAGAAAACATGACTGGCATTGGAGCTGGAAGTGTTGTGCAGCCAGGCCAGTCCTTGCTGACATCCATATAAAGTTTGGGAAACATCATGGGTAACTATGTAGTCTCACTTCGGCACATCTCATCACATTCCGTCAGTCATTTTGTCTTAGAGGACATAGCATTTGGCTTCTTACAATGAACTTGAAGGGACAAGCTCATAGTAATGACTCTCAAAGAGGCAAGTTACTTTCTTTTTAAGGAAACAATTAAAATTTTATATCATATACATACTGGAGAAGAAAATATGGGTAATGTGAGAGGACGATGTTCCTTATTCCCCTTTCAGAAGAAAAAAACCTGTCTAGCTACATTAACCTGTAGTTAACAGTTGAAATGGTTTAATTAAACCAAAAATGTAACAAAAGATAAGCAAAAAGTCAAATGCTTACAGATAAGGGGTGTCCTATGAAATGAGGTGCCTTAGTACTAGCATCCAGGAAAACAAACTAGTCTGAAAGTGTAGAAGATACCCTAACAGAACCCTTATTTCATTATTAATGCAGCAATATGACTGGAGGAGTGCTGTGGAAGATGGCCATTTAAATATGCAGAATTAAAAGCCCTGAAAGGGGCCAAAAAAGAGGTTTTGCTTAGCTCTGCTTTGTTTTGGAGTTATTTACCAAAGTAGTGTACAGCAGATGGGGTGCAAGGAAGGAGTGGGTGGCTTCAGGATCTGCAGGAATGCAATTTGTGCAACATGTATCTGTCCTATGCTAAAACCCACCTGTTTTTCAGATTACTTCATAACATCTTATTTCTTTTTGGCACTCCAGCTTTAAAGTCTCGTGTAGTTTCAGATGTGATATAAATGGTAAATGAGCTGAATAAACTTATCCAAGCACACTGCATAGGGTACGCTGAACCTCCACACTGCCTCAGTGTCATATCAAACGCTGGCCCTGCAAATGTTCAGCCCATACCTGCAATGTCTAGACAGTACTGTGGTGAAAGTATCGTTATTAATATTACCTCCTGTTTCTGTGGATATCTTGGGAGACCTCCCTGATAAACAAATTGATCATCAGAATGGTGTGGTCATGAGGTTTTCTTTGCTGCAGGCAGTGGTAAGTTCAGTTTCAGCTTTAAACTGCAAGCAGAAACCTGTCAATACTAGCACTGACTGGCACAGACTTGGGCATCCTAATGAAAAAAGGCATTTACCTTTTAATATCCATAAAGCACAAAAATAAAAGCCCAAAACCTAAAGTACCTTTCACAACCAGGTTCCCTGAATTTCTGGCAACTCCAAACTGATTTGTTGCTATACAGGTGTACACCCCGGCATCTGATTTGGTGATGTTATAGAGCCCGAGACTGCCATCCTCTAGTAAGATGACCCTGGGGAACAAAATGAAAAAGAAGAAAAGAATACTTGTATTACAGGAACTATAATAGAAATGCAACACTATTTTTAATATTTAAATTCTTCTATTATACGTTTTCTCTTCTACAGCAAGCTGAATATGTATCAACCGATTTTCACCTCTGCTTATTATTGATTTCTATATTAGGAATGTTATATTGATGTACTGGAGCTGACTGTTAACTTGTCTAGCTGACTTTCTTGTGCAAAATTTGGAGTCTGAAGAGAAAGGAAGAAGACTCAAGTTGTTACCTAACTGTGCTATATTTTACCAGGTTTTTTTTTTATTATTTATTTTAAATTTATTTTAAATTTATTTTTTATTTTAAATTTATTTTTTATTTTAAATTTATTTTTTATTTTAAATCCCAGTGCTCCCATGCCATACTAATATTGTGTCTGAGCCCAGCTGCTTCTCCAATTTTGTCAGGGTTATTAAAAGATATTAGCAGACTAGCTGAGGTGCTGAAATGCCATCTCACAAGCCAAGAAGCCAAATCAAATACATCGCTGTCTCACAGGGCCCTCAAATCACCTTATTAGTCACTATGTTGTTTACACCAATTTACAGAGTATTGCGTAAATTGCATTTAATGGTAATTTCAGGACCACTCCTGGGTTTTAAGGACAAAATTAGTTTATAAGCTTGTTCATATGCTTCTTTATGTCAATGAGATACTTGAGGATGTAAATCAGTATGTAGTTCAGTTTCCCTTAGGAAAGCTCTCATTGCATGCCTGACACCTCTTTGCTTTTACGTACAAGGAGAGCAGTGCACAGTTTGGGGATTTTCTTCACAAATATACAGAACACATATATAACAAAGGTAGGGAATTTGAAAGCTGAATTGGGTAAGCGATGAAATTTACGATAGAAAATAACGTTTCATTAATTTTGTGTCAGTTCTTCCATCCACCTGGTGCTCCTGGTAGATGTTGAAGTTCTTGACCAAATTTTTCTGAGTATAGTAAGACAGTGGGCTGAAAGACATGAAGTTCTTGGAAGTTTCATGAAAATGGGATCAGGGTCTCTCTGTACAGACCTTCTTGCCAGCTAGGCCACTGCATGAGCACACTCCTTTGTAAGGCATCAGAGAATCTGCACCCAAATGAGAAGAGCTGCACTCAGATGTCATACTTTCTTACATCTGACAAAACACAGCTGAAAGTCACAAATTCACAGGAAACCAGGCTTCATTCATTCCAGCGCTCACATAAGCACTGCATTATTTTTTTATATTCCTCTTTTAATTGACATTTGAATCTAATACAAGAATCCTTTCATAAAGAGAAAATATCTAATTCATGCATCACATCTTGGGTATTTAATATTTATTACTAACAACATAAGATCGGATGATGTAATGAATTATTAAAGGAAATGAAAAATAACAAGAGCAGAAGTTGAAGCTGGCAGTAATATCATAGCCATTAAACACACAAAAAACATCATAGTGTCTTGCTGCATTCCACTCTGGTATTTATATGCTTGCAGCTATATGTGTAACACACATTAGATCTTGTTCTGCTTCCCGTTATATGCTCCCAGCCTCTCAAATGATGAAGAGAAGCTAGACTTGGATTTCTGGGGGTCTTCTCACATCCCCCTAGTTTCATGTCTCCAACTCTTGTCTGACCTTCCTTACCCTGACAAAAGATCTGCCCCTAAGAAGGGCAGGGGTGGATTTAGGAAAAAGAAAAACTGAGACATCCTTGTGGTGCTGGGCGCTCTGTCACTGGGGGGTAGAGCTGAGAGGGGAGGGGATTTAGGCTTGAATGAAAAATCTTTGTTTCCTTGGCAATAATCACCAGGTGCTGCAGCAGTTGTTTGCATGCAATTTGTTATATGATGAGAAAAGACGTTCAGGTTTAATAATCCATCATATATACGTATTAAACTGGAGAGGAGCAAAATATGAAGCAACAAAGTATGCTCTTCCCTATAATGCTGTATCAACTAAATGACATTTTTCAGATAAGGAAGGATGAATAATCATGACAGAATTGAGACTCTGCTGATCCATGATGCTGTGCATTAAAACAAGAAACCATGGGTGCCTCTCCTTCTCAGTATAGGGACACATCTGATGACAGTGTTTCAAAGGCAGTTTTAAGTATTTAACATTTGCAAGTAATCCACCTGTGCCTCTGCAATTTTATTTGCACTAATGATGCACTTGTTCACATTCATTTGCACCAGCCAGAAGAAAAAAACCTCATTAGAAACTGCTGGTGATAAAATAGTTGAATCAATTGACTGGTTTGCTAACACACGGTGGCTTCATCAAACAGTATCAAAAGAGATTCAAGTGTGAGTCAGGAAATGTTCATAAATTGGATACCTGAGTAATACTTTATAACAAGCTGCTGTAGTGTCTTTCTCAACATCATCATCTCAACATCATAGCCCTGTTATTTTTATTGCAGTTGCACCTAAAAGACCTAGGTACAAACTGGAATCCAGAGGTGGACATGAGGCAAGAAGAAGACAGTCCCAGTCCCTGAAAGCTTCCAGTGTAGGTAAATATACAAGAAAAACACAGTTTATGAAAATCAGATTATTAAAGGGCAGAGTCATGGAATGCACATGCTGTGTGCTTAGTCCCCCATGGATTTCTGTCTAGGGCTTTTTCACTAAAGTTTAGTCATGTCTTGCTCAGACGTTCTTTCATCTATTCTTCATTAGGAATTGAAACCTGAATAATTCCCAGGTTCCTCGTCTATCCACTAATAGGGGTTTGTACCCACTCAAGAGCTGATGAGGTGATGCTTGATCTGAAGAAATGCTGTTCTGAAACAATGGCTGGGCAGGAATGGCTCTTTCAGTGCATCAAAACAGAGCTTAGCAAAAAGATACCATGAGCTAATAAAAGCTTCAGAGTTGTTTGAAACAGAGGTCACACTACCTAAAGACAATTAGGGAGCGAGCAGTAAATAAGACACTCAGGCTGAATTTATGTAAAAGCACAAAGGACTCCAGAGTAATTAGTTAACAGTAAAGGGAATTAAAGGGAAAAAAAAAAAGTGAGTAATTTCCAGCTGTACTGAGGTCTGTGTTTGGAGAGGGAGGAGAAAGCAGAGCACAGCAGAAAATCAAGATGATGCCTTTCAAATGCAAGAAGAAAAGCACCCAGCTGCCACAAACAACAAAGTTGCCGCAAGCTTCCCTAGAGTCATGACTTTATACTATGGGTGAGTTCAGAGGGGCTGCACTTTATCCTCATCCATTTGTCTTTCAAATAATGGAACTGTGATTCTGAAGGCAATGGAAATATTTCCTTTAATGGGCTTTGGATCAAGCTCTAACAAACATTTTAAAAAGAAGCTGTGAAACACGTCTCACCTGCTGAAAGTCTTGCTGAAAACTGCTACTTTTCACAACATTTTAGACTGCATGAAGGCTACAGATAATAATTCTTAGTATTTGCATCAGAAGACACAATAATTCCACATACTGAGACAAGACAGGAAAGTTTATCTTGTCCAATATAATATAGGTAGAATATTTTGTCTGCCAGGAAAACTGGACTTCTCTCAGTAAGTGCGTGCCTGTCGAGGGACAAAAATCAAAAGATCTGAGGCAGATCTGATAAATGCATCACTGAAAAAGAAAGAGGGGAAGAAAGGATGAAATATGCTACTTGGGACACAGCTGTTTGTAAATCCCTGCTGCAGCAAGGGATTGCTTAAGCAAAAGTCTAACTCTAAACTGGTATCTCTGACTTACAAAATACTTAAATTCTTATCAGACTAGTGCGCACCTGTGGTCCTGCCTGAATTACCCATGTGCTGACTCTGAGTAAACAGCTCAATTAGGCAAAGTCCCTATGACAAAAGGAAGAAATGAAAATCCAGTTACATAAATCCATACAAAGTTACTACACACAAGAGCTAACTAGAAATACCCCAAAATATCATTCCATATCTAGCAATCCTAGGAATTTACCCTGCAGAAAGATGGATGTGTTGGGTGCAGTTCATTCATGTGGATCATAAGGCAGCTCTTAAAGCCCAGTTCAGAAACATGTCTAGTCAGTTTTCCAGCCGCAGGATGTCCCTGACAGGGGGTTAGGGTGCGGTAAGGATGCAGCAGCAGATGCCATAGCCCTTTCCCAGCACAGAGCCTTTCTATATTAGATGAAATCTGTCTTCAGGAGTTACTCCAAAGCCCTTTGAGTCTCTCCCAACTTTTAGTATCACATCACTTTGTGAGTTTTTCTCTGGTTTATTTAAAAGACATCCTTTTGTTTGTTTTTAATCTGCTCATTCCATTGGGTTGATCCACATCTTTGCCCTCTCTGAGTGACTCCAGTATTACACAACATAAGCATTATATGCAGAAAGGGAAAACAAGCAACCTATCCAAGGTCTGCTAGAGTCAAAACTGCTTAATGTTCAAAAATAATACTTTGCAATGTTTCTGCAGAAGACATTAGATGGGGAAGAAATGAGAGCTCATTAAAATTGTCACACATACTTTTTAAGTACAGAACTTGAGAAATCAAGCAGGGTTGATAGGTACAGCTTTTAATTAACCAGGCCAAACAAACCATCTCTGAAAGTGTTGTCTCATGTGAACGACAGAGTGTTGATGGCTATTTGCTTTGATCTTAAGAGTATGGAAGAATAATATGTATTTAACAAGGCTGATAGAAAAATAAAATCTGAGAAAAGACAGAGGTGTCAACCCATTTTTTAAGGTGTAGCAGAGGTAAATTTTGTGCATTGCTATACTGTTCAGCCAAGTTTTAGAGGTGTGATTTTAATTCATAGATGTATATTACGTTAACTCAATACAACAAATGTCTGAAATCCCCATCAAAATCGGTTGACCTGTACTGGTGTAAAACTGGGGGCAAACCAAGATTACTTCTGCAGGTTTCCAGCACTGCCAGTAGGGTAGCTATCTCTTCAAGAGAGTAAAGTAATTCCTTTCAAAATAAAGTAGCCCTGATACTTAATGTAAAGATTCACTC